TCTCTAAGTGGTTTACAACTGTAAGCCCATTACCATCAGTGGAAGAATCAAAAGAGACCAAGTCCCTTGTGCTGTATGAGGGTCAAAAACATTTTATTTCTTTAAAAGTCCAATGTGTTTCAGCCTTATCACCAATTGTGCTTTCTTCTAATAATCCAAAGTCTGCTTGTATATTATTATTATTATTATTATTATTATTATTATTTTATTTTATTTTTAAAGTGCTGTCAATGTACACAGCACTGTACAAAAAGATAATCAAAGCATTAAAATAAATAAAAACCTGCCAAAGGCGTACAATCTAAAAGAGAGCCAAGACTGCAACTCCAGAAATTTCTGACAACTGAATATTCTTGAAGAAGGCCAATTGGTGATAAGGCCAAAATGCATTGGGCTTTTTTAAGAAATAAAAGTTTTTGACCATCGCATGACAAGTGGGACTTTGTCTCTTTCATTCTTCCACTGTGAATATGTGTTCTCCAGTTTTTTGTTTTGTTCATCCCTATTAACAGCCATTCTGGCTGGAAGATTCTGGGAGCTGTAGTGCAGGAAAGTATCCCCCTCCCAAAAAGTTCTGTTCCATCTGGAATTGGTAAGATCTCAATAGAGGGGTTAGTTGGCTGCAGTACAAACCGCAGTGAATCTTGTAGCACCTTAAAGAGTAGCAAGTTTTATTTGGCATAAGCTTTTATAGACTTGTTGTGCATGTGGTTGGTGACTGAAGACCACAATCTTACACCAGGGGTCAGAGTTATTGATTTCTCCAGGTATTAATGAACTACAGCTCCCAATGACTCTTAGCCAGCAAATCCAGTGGTGAAGAATGCTGGATTTTGGAGTCCAATTACATCTGGAGTGCTAAATGGTTCTCACTTTACCCACTCTATTATGCCAAATAGAACCAGTTAGTCTTTTTTTGGATGATGGCTGTTGCTGTCCAAAACGTAACTTTGCATCCTCTGAGAAGGCCTGCCTGATAATAGAAACAGAGAACACCCAGCAGCAACCCTTTTTCTGAGTCCACATTTAATAAAAATTGCTATTTTGACAACAATGCTGCTTGGTTAAAAGTAAGAAAAATGTTCTGAATTTTGTATTTAGCTTGCTTCTCGCAGCTTTTCTCCGGGACTGTTTCTTGGAATGCAAGAGCACCTAGAAGCCCAAAAACATGGTTCTCCTGCTGAACTTTGAGGTCTGGGGAAAACTTCTGCATCTACCCAAAAATCTCATTCCTCCCTTGCCAAAATATCTGGAATCTCAATGGAATTGTGTGATATCCCTGGCTATTGTCAATCCTGGTTTCCTCATTCCCTTCTTTCCTGCAGACACTGGCCGAATGCACAGCCAAGATGGATCCAGACACCTGGAACGCTTATCACATAGTGAGCAACCGTGCCCGTGCCGTCTGCTATGCCACCCGTCAGATGCAGTTCAAGCGCCGGGCAGAGCACACAGTCAATGCCTTGGTTTCCACTGCGGCCAGCCAGCTGGAAGCTATGAAAATCCTGAAGGTCAGTAAAGCAGTGGCAAAAATTCCTCCATTTCCAGTATGCTTAGTGAACAGTAACTGACTAGATCACTACCAGGTGTATTCCTGCATGGAAGAATGGGGTTGGACTGGATGACCCTTGTGGTCTCTTCCACCTCTATGATCAACGTGAGGAAAGGTGGCTTGTGGGCCAAATGTGACCCATGGGACCCCAAAGTGTGGTCCTTGAATCACCCCAACTCCCTTTAAAAAAAAAGACATTTTCTGCCAAATAGAACTAAAACAAGCCACAAATATAGCTGTTTATTTCTCTCTCACACCCCAGAGCCCCCCAAACACATTGAAAAACACAAAGGGTGGCATAAAATCATACAAAATGGCAGCCAGAAGTGACAAAATGTATTTGTGGCACTCCAGAACATGATGGTGTGGCCCACCAAAGAGAAATGGCCCCACTCATTTGGTTGTTGCCACCGTTGGGCTGGATGAATGTGGAACTGTTCATTCTTTAGTGCCACGACCCAGCCATGTTAAACACAGACTTGTAAGTGTCCTTGGCTGTATCAGCCTTTTAGGGTCCAATTTCTAGGGTGGAATTGTGCTGGTGAACTACCTTGGCACAACTAAAGTGGCACAGGTGGAGGATGCAGGAGACACAATGGGCACAGTGGCCACGAAGGCAGTCAGGCTCTAAAGAAACAGGCTGGCTCAGAGCTGGCGGATCATGGTTAGCTTCCAGCATTTTACCAATGTAAACTAGGATTACGTGTGGCTGAGAAAGATGGAAGTGTGGTCGAAAGGGCCAGGCAAGAACTGTTTCTGTCATTTTTCCCTGAACAGAGTGGCCAGGAAGAGCTGAAGGCCCTGACGTCCGAGTCCTTGCAGCAAGTGGTCAGCAGCCAAGAGAAGCTCCTGGTCCAGCAGGAGACGCTTCAAGGAAGCCAGGAGAAAATGGAAGAGTCCATCCATAGCAACTTGGATCAGTTGGCTCAGGAGAAGGCTCTGATCGCCAGTGGGCAGCAGCAGGTGGCACAGCTGATCGAGGGCATCACGAGAAGGATGGGTGAGGAGGGCAAGAAGAGGAGGAAAACCGGCCAAAGGGGGATTTTTAGGGCCTTTTATGGAACCTCAAAACTCTTGTGTCATCAAAGCAACTTCAGCCTACGGCAACCCTATGGATGAGAGAATGCAAAGATATAGCTGTGTTAGCCTGTAAGATTAGTATGCAAACAGATTTTGTAGTAAGTTTGAGACTATCTGGAAGAAAGAATATGGCAGCACTGAGATGCATTTGCATATACCAATCTTGCAGCTCTCCAAGGCTCTATCCTCTCTCTCAGTCTGCACTTCTAAATCTCTCATACTTAAGAGAAAGAATTTAGGTTTTAGTGTTACTTTGACTTTCAATTTTTTTGCAACTGTTATCTAATTGTTAAGCAATATTTTCTTGCTTTTTTGCTTGCCCACCATACCTTGTAAAAGGACCCTCTATGCTGTACTGTTTTCAATATTGGTTTTAAAATAAGATTTCATTAGTTTTAATTCTGTTGTTATTTAATACTGTTTTAATCTATATTCCATATGTTTTTAACTACATGTATTTTGTTGCATTTTTTGGCCTTTTTGTGAGCCATTTTGAGCCCCATCCTGGGAAAATTCAGCATGTAAATAAGAGAGGGATGGTTGGATGAAGGATGTGGATAAGAAAGTTGGATGAAAGAGAAATAGAGTGCAGAAATTGCATTGTTAGCCCTCACTGATTAACCAGGTTGTTTGCTCTAGTCCCACCTTCGGACCAATGCACTACATACACACGTGAACTTCTAAGATTATTCTCAGAGCATCTGAGAAAATTGGGTACAGCTGGCCCTCCGCATCCATGGATGCAACCATCACAGCTTGAAAATATCCCCCCCCCCCACAAAAGCAAACCTTGCTTTTGCTATTTTATATAAGGGATACCATTTTACTACTCCATTGTATTTTTATTGTATTATCCACATTGCACAATTCACAGAGGCGTATGCTATAATTGAGAGAGTAGTCTTAAAAGTGTTGCACAACTTTGGTTCCTTCCCCCCCCCCCCTTTTTAAATATGGCCTATGAGGTTTGGAAGAGGAATTTCCAACAGTTAAATTGCTAGTATCCTTCCTACAGAAAACGTAAGCAGTCACCTGAACAGCCAGGATGCAGATCTGCAAGAGGGACACCGAGCCATCCTCAGGGACCTGACCCAGGTGCAAAAGCGAGCTCAGGAGGTTTACTCCAAAATAGGTTTGTAACGGAAAGCAAATCCCAAACCCCATTATCCTCAGTCCCTAACCCCTGAGTAATTTTTGTGTTTAGAAACTGTCTTT